CAGGGAGAACCTGCCACACCCACCCACCCCCAGGCCAGCACTGCTCAAACTGTCTAGGAACATGAAACTCTGTCCTGTTTTAAAAGATTGTGAAATAAAGGGCTGGCTGGTTATCTCAGTTGGTTAGAGCATGGTGCTTGCTGGTAACACCAAGGTCCAGGGTTTGATACCTGTACCAACTAGTCACCAGGAAAAAAAAAAAAAAAAATGAAATAAAGCTTGACTTGCTCTTTTTCTGTGCTTGATCCTTACCAATTGTTAGGATATAATTTGTATCCAACTCTAGTTCTTTATGCTAACATTTAGCCTATATCCTAATATTCTAGCCTCAGTGAAACCTCAATGAAGATAGGGACAGAGTTTCTCCTATTGGGTATAACATGTAACATATCTGGAGATTATGATTTAGGTTGTTTTCCATCCTTCTCTTTTCTAACCTGTGCAGTCATTGATCAAGGGGGAGAAAGGCCTCATGGATAATGAAGAGAGGGTAATACAAACTGTGGTGTCTTCAAGTCTTATTTCTTTACTTTCAGGTGGACAGTGCAAAGCCCTTTGGTGACGGTATGTCAGAGCATCATTCACGGAAGTCCAGAAGAAAATCTAAGTTTTCAAACCTTCCGTTTCCAATGAGAAGAGGTGCTCAAGTTNGTCCAGAAGAAAATCTAAGTTTTCAAACCTTCCGTTTCCAATGAGAAGAGGTGCTCAAGTTTCCTGTTACTCCTGTACATTTCCCTATGAGAACCAAAGTATCCTACTTATCTTTCATTCTGAGGAATCACAGGTTACTTTGGAAACTGTGGTACTAATTCTCAAGTACTCTCCAGCTGTGGAATTTCCAGGGTGGTGTTCCCATGGAGCAGAGTCAGCTGAGGAGCTGCCTGTTTGACAGTTCCCCTCCCTGTTGAAGGGGACTGTTCTGAGTAGTGTTGTTAACCCAGCCTGCAGTGGTGGCAGTTGTTCCCTGGCTAGGCTGGAGTAGCAGCGAGCAGGCTGTCCTGTTGTAAGCTCCTTGCAAAGGTTCCATTGATAGCTAGCAAATAATACTTGCCATTTTTCTGGCTGGAAAAGAGCAGGAGATTGATGGTGACCAGGAGACATAACATTTACTTTACAGGATTTCATGTCACCCTCTACCTAACTGAGGCAGGGGGTACCGTACTTTCAAATTTGAAGACCCTTTTGCATTTTTAAACNATTTTTTTCCAACCTGGAAAAATCCAATTCAGTCTTAGTTTCCTCTGTGTGTATTCAACACTTCACTTTTAGTTATCTTTACCATTCTCTGGCATTAAGTCTACTTATCATGATTATTTAGAGTAATCATAATGATTTCCATTTTTGCTGCCCTATGTTTCTCCACGTTCTTATGTATTCATTGTCTCTATTTAATGCTTGTGTTTACCTTGGACACATATACTCAAGAGCTCCTGCATAAATAAGATTCCATGAAAACCAAAGAGAATGGAAGAGGCAGAGCTTATGAATTTTATATTAGACCCACATTGCTCGCTTTTAGGCTCTGGGCATCTGGGCAGATATGTTTTTCAAGCTGCTTAAGGGACATTGAACTTATTGTTTGACTTTAGACTTGCTTTTACCCTTCCCCTTTCCATATATGCTGTCATTAAAAATATAACCTCATTGTTGACCTCAAGAGGACAGAAAAACTAATACGTAGGATTGCTGTGACTCAAGGGAGACTTGTAAGTGATAATGTCATTTACAAGGGAGCAATTAAGTTTTTTAATCATTCATTGTCCAGAATTTTTGTAGTGTTGTGGAATAAATGTAACAGCAATTTTAGGGATAACTGGTAATAATGAGTCACTGAATCACCTGTTCCTCTTTCTTCTAGCTTCTTCTCTTGACAGCCTTGCAGCTAACGTAAAGGTAATTTTAGAAGTAGCATTTGTAGAATGACTTATTTCCAGCTATCCTATGTCAATTTTTGTGCCTTCTCCAATCAGCAGTGGAAAGTGTATTTCTAGTTAGTACTGCTTATTTGGAATTGCTATAGTTTAACTAGAGTTTATTTTAGGAGGCGCCCAGGCTCCACTGTATACTTTGCTTTGGGGTTAATTGGTTTGCTTCCCTCATATAAGCTCTTTTCATTTGCAGAATGAATCACCAAGCAGGGTGTAGGTAGGCCAGATATCTACTTTATCAGTTGTGATTTTTTATTGCTTTTCCTTTAATAGGAATAACTTTATAAATAGAGGCGGTAAATAACTTGTTCTTGAAGTTTGATTTGTTCATCAAAGTGAAGGCTCAAACTTCTGTGTTACAACATGAGAATAGATGTATGCAAAGAAGATTCAATATACTGTGTTTCTTGTGCCATAATATTTAAGTATTATGTTAAAAAATTATATATTTCCCAGAACCAGTAATCTCATAAATCAAAGCTTAGAGCATAAATTCGTTTTGGCTTGTTAATATATATCAGATGTACAGACTCTCGGTCATTTTTCCTTGGCCTTGACTCTTGAGCGTTTTGTCTCTAATCTAATCTACTCCAGCCCTCTTTTATTTGCAGGAGGTCCCTGGGACAGAGATAGTCTATCATTTTACCCTCAATTCTCTTCCTTGTCCCACCCCCACCCCCAGCTCTAAATTAAACAAACAAAAACAAAATAACAACTAAAGAATAATGCATATTGTCACAGGTTATCAAAGAGCCAGATGAACGGATTGTCTTAAGGAATGAATCACCATCACCTTTAGATTCAAGTAAGTTTGGAAAGCCCTCGCCCAGTGACCAAGGGGATGCCGATTTCCACCGGGAAACTTCATTTGCCACCTCCCAGCATTCCAGATCTCCCAGCCCTCTGGATCAGCCCCCGTTCAAAGAAAGGTCAGCGGCAAGTGCACATCTCTTTGCTTGAAGAGTGCATTGTGGTCTGCTGGGAGGAAAGCCGGGTCACTGTGTCAGTTCACTTTCTTAGGAATATTCAGCTGGTGACACCTTGATATGAAAAAACGATTATGCCTTTAAAAATCTACTCAAAAGTTAGAGCCTTTTGAGCCTTTTCTCTTGCCTCTGGAAAGCATATCTCAGGATGTTTGTTGTAAATGGGATAGACAAATAAACATAACATGGATACTGTTTACCCATTTTTATCTGTCATGAATTTTAAAACTAAAAGTTTTGATTTCACCAGTATAGACTGTGTTCACTATAGAAAGTTTGGAAATTACAAAAAAACAAAACGGAGTGGAAAAAATCACGCATGGTTCTAATTAACCAAAGACAAACGTTATTAACCTGTGGATGTATTTTCTTTTTCCAGACATAGTTTCTTGGTTTGTTTACATTATCATGGCAATAATAAAAACATATTTGTGTATGTCTGGAGGGCAGGCCAGAGAGTGAGAGCAGGAACTTTTATATGCCAAATAGCACTCTGTGATAAGGGGACCAGCCATCCCGTTTGCTCGCGTCTGCTGCCCCGGTTTTAACCCTGACAGTCTTGAGTTCTGGGAAATCCCAGAGTCTTGGGAAGACCAGGACAGTTGTCACCTTAACTCTGGTACCAAAAAAAAAATTTTTTAAGACAGCTGTTTTGAATGTAGGGTAGGCCAATCTGCTTTTCTCTGTATTATTAGTGA